GGTTATTTCCCTTGCTGGGATTTTCTGCCATTGTTTGTTTACTTCTTTGCCCCGTATTTGTGACTGTTGTTTGGATGAGAAAGAATGATATTGGTGGATCGGGTTGCACGCCGCAACAATGCTATTTATGGATCGGGTTGCGCGCCGCAATACTGATATTTGAGGGTCGGGTTGCACGCCGCAACAATGATATTTGAGGGTTGGTCATGCCGCAACAATGATATTTGAGGGTCGGGTTCCACGCCGCAACAATGATATTTGAGGGTCGGGTTGCACGCCGCAATAATGATATTTGAGGGTCGGGTTGCAGGCCACAACAATGATATTTGAGGATCGGGTTGCACGCCGAAACATTTGCTGATTCAAGGGTGTTTAGTTGGAGTATTCGTTTCTTGATTCGTTGTAAATTCTTTGGCTGCTTCTACTTTTATATTGCTTTTTCCTAATTGTAACTGTTGCCTCCCCATAACATGTTCCCCCTTTCGCTATTGACTGTTTACTTCCCGTATTTCTTTCCGTAGTATGTATATATTTGAACTGCACAGGTTTATCTGGTAGTCTGGTCCTAGCCTCGTCACTACTTCGCCGAGGTTAGGCTAGGCACTTACCAGCACATGGGGTCGGTTGTGCTGATGCTACACTCCGTGCTCTTTTGCACAGATCTAGGTTTTGGTCAGCAGCTCCAGTAGCGTGGGTGCAGGTTTCCAGTCCAGCCAGACACCGAGGTAGCCTTGCAGGCGTCCGCAGGACCGGCGTCTCCCCTATCCTTATATTTGACTGTTATCTCATTGTATCCGAGACAAAACAGAGATGTTTCTTTCAGACCTTGTATTTAGTATTCTTAGATGTTCGTGAGTATGTGACTCCAGTTCTTGGGTAGAGATTCATGTTGGGAATTCCGTATTTTATTCAGTTATTTGAAATTTAAGACTTCCGCTTATGAATTTAGTTCCGTTGCCTTTATTTTAATGCTGTTAATTATTAAAAAGGAATAGATGCTTAATGGAAAGTGATTAAGTTTGGCTTGCCTAGCTCCTACTAGTAGGTGCCATCACGACCCCCGAAGGTGGGAAATCCGGATCGTGACATACATACACGAGAATTCCTAAATAGTATTAAATGTTCTGGAATTTCAAACCACTCTATCACTTTGAAGGTTGGTGTTCCTGTGATGTTGCTGAGAAATATAGACCAGTCATCAGGATTGTGTAACGCCACGAGGTTGATCATCACAAGACTTGGAAATTAGATTATTGAAGCCAAGGTTTTATCTGGTAATATGGCTGGACAAAAGTGTTTATCCCGAGAATGACATTGGCACCATCAGATGCAAGATTACCTTTTAAGTTCCAGCAAAGATAATTTTCAATTGTTATATCTTTTTCCATGACAATTAATAAAAGTCAAGGCCAGTCATTGTCTCGCGCGGGGTTATTTTTAAAGAAGCTGGTAATTACTCATGGACAACTGTATGTTGCTCTTTCACGCGTGACAAGTAAAAAAGGGTTGAAGATTTTAGTTTATGATGATGATGGCCAAATAACGAATGAAGCTAGAAATGTGGTGTATAAAGAAGTTTTCTGTAATTTAATTTGAGATGAAGCTAGAGATGGTGGTATCATCAGGATTTATAAAATACTGGTCCTAAATGCTAGAGATGTGGAATCATCAGGTATTCACAATTTGCTTTTTCAATAAAAATAAAGAGAGATGACTCTAAATTTTAACTCATCATTCACTGTTGTTTTGGTAGGGGCGAGAAGAATTTGGTGATATAAGTATAATATGTTTCACAAACAAGATGCAGAGCCAAGTTAACATAAGTTGCTTTCTACTATTGTCTTTTAGACTACACTACTAACGATCTATATCACTTAAATATGTTTTTTTGCAATTCTGTTGCCCATCTAATTGTTGTTTGTTCTTATAGTTATTATTCTTGAATTACATATATAGTTCTTGCGAGTTTAGATTGTGCACTATTTATTTGTTTTATGTGACTTCAGAAACCAATGTAACAATTCTTCGTGAATTACTGAAAATTGTGTCAATTTCATTTGCGATGACAGCTGGTTATGTTATTTCTTGCTGACACCAAGTATTGGTGCAGGTTTCTTACATGATATTGCAGATGGTATCTCCTGTTACTCATTATGTGGGCAACTGTGTGAAGCGAGTGGTTGTTATTGTGACTTCCATGCTCTTCTTCCGCACACCCGTTTCTCCCATTAACGTTTTGGGTAGGACACCTTACACTTTATACTAATCATATAGCTGATCGAGAAGGAAACCCCTTTTCCTATTCCAATCCCTCCAGATGGCAGCTCGAGTGAACACATGTGGAAGATAAAAGTTAGAAATTACCTTTTTTATTAACAACAAGATAATAATTTTCTTCTTCATTTTCTATTGTAGGCACCGGAGTGGCCCTATATTCAAGGGTGAAGCGCATTAAACCTAAGGCAGAAACGGAATGAAGTCTAGATCAATTTTGAGGGTAAATTGTGATCATTATATGGATGAACCAAAACTTGGTTATACTCTAGGCAGGGTCTTCTTTTAGTTTGTTGTGCCATGTGGGACGAGTTATTCTTTTATGATGCAACCTTAACTAATTGCTGCTAATTTGGCGATTTCATTACATCACTGTTGTCTTTCTTTTGTAGGGTGTATTTTGTAATGTTCGACATGTTTAGGACCCAAGTAGCATTGTCTAATGTGGAGTTTCTTACATGGTAAATTGTGATCCCTAGATGTGATCAAATATGGCACCAGGTTTCTAGCAAAGACAAATTTCAATTGTTGTATTTTTTGCCATGACAAATAATAAAAGTCAAGGCCAGTCATTGTCTCATGTGGCTTGGAAAAATTCATTCTTGATGGTGTTCTGCTATTTGATTTTGTTCCCAAATCTTCTTATTGACATTTTGCTACTGAATGTGAGTTTTATATAGAGTATAACTTACATTCACCATGTTACAAGGGTGACTTTAATATCTAATCTCCTCATTTACAATATGATATTAATAATTTATTTTTCTTTTCTGATTATATGGTAAGAACAATATTGTCATACTAATATTCAAAAGTACTATCCGCGCATCGCGCGGGTACTTATACTAGTATTTTTAAAAGTCAAACAGCTATTGTACACACTTTATTTAACTGATTAGACTTTAAAAACGAAGCAGGAACTTTCTGTACATCCTAATCCTTCCTTTTAAGCTTCACTGAGCAGTATGCTTTTGTTTAATGAAAAACTTACTCAAACTATAATTATATTAGTGGCAAACTCAACCATATAATTTTTGCAGGTTAGGCATAATCTAGTGCTTTTTTATTGGACTTCATATACATGTGGCACATATAAGTTTAAATAGAGTAAGATGGAGTACATTTCAGAATATATTCTCAATTCAGTATTCACATCGTCCAAAATGTTGAGTATAATTTCGTGACAGAATTGTCGACTAGCGACTTGATACATCCAATTTCATGTGTAGAACAACAGTTGGTTTCTAAAATTAAAGGGGTTTCTCCTCTTTTACCACCTCAATACTTGAAAATGTTTTCTACAAACGAAAAGAACAATACAACAATAACAAAATATCCGGTATGATCCTACGAATAAGGTCTAGAATGGATAGGGTGTGGAAAGATTTATATGTATGCAAACCTTACCCCACCGAGCGAAAACTACAATAAAAGTAATCATTCTCGTCTAATAACTTCTAAAAGGAACAGAAAGCAAAGGAAAGAAGACTAATAACAACGAAAGTAACTAGTCTCATCTATCAACTTCTATTTTCTTTTCTTTGGATCCATTCAAAGCTCACCCTAAATGTTGATTTGTAAATTCTCCGATTCACTAACAAGTGGTCCAAACAATTCATTTAACTAAATTAAGCTGTATATATATCTCCTACGATCATTATCTAAATCTAATGTTAGCCAAGTCCATTTAATTTCTTCAACTATTTTGTATAGATGAAATCAATTTTTGGAGGATTATACTTATTGACCACTCCTTGACGCAATTTTGGACAGTGACCTTTCAACTTCTGGACGAATCTTTTGATGTTTGTTTCAATATATATACTCGTTGGGGGAATTAGCGTTTTAATTAATTCGTACTGGAATGAAATGAACGATAATAGAATCACTGAATAAGATAGTAGTAGTATATTTTGCTCTAGTTCAGCATCTTTTGTTCCATATTTCCTCTTCCTAATTCTTACTTCAAACCAAAACAAACCCTAAAGAAAGGGAAAGCTAGCCTAAATTAAGGACCAATCAGTACTCATCAACTCTTCTAGCTAATGGCATGATCTTGTTTATGTTTCCAAATTAGTAGTATATAGCCTATGAATATAACATATAGGGTGTATTATTTGGTACCAAGGAAAACCTTCTCTAAAGAATATTTTTCAGCAAAATAAGTCATTTTCTGGCAACCAAACAACAAAAAAGTAATTTTTCTTGAAAATATTTTCCATTAAAAGAGGTAAATTGACTTTCTTCACTTATGTTTTCCTCCAATAGTTTCTATGTTTTATAGAGTGTTGAATAGTGTGATAAAATTTATGCTGAAAAATGTTTTGGGGAAAATGTTTTTCTTCATATCAAACGCAATCATAGAGTAGAAAATTTTCCTGGAAACAAATCGATTCTAAAAATAAAATACAGAGTAATTAATACTGCTTTAATCTAATACTATTTCTACTTACCTGATCTGCTTCAATTCATAGTACCGCATTTGCTTAAGTCAACCTGCAGTGTAATATCAAGTGAATCCATACCCAAAAAAAGGGTAAAACTTTAGTTCTTTTAGAAAAATCATTCAACCAACTTGACTATGAAATGGATGTTTTAATTCTACATGATTCCATTTGAACAAATACAAACCTTTGTAATTAGAAATTATGGGAAAAACAATTGTAAAAGAAGAGAATGAAAATCAAGAGAAAAAAAAAACATGAAATAATCAATTATAACCCTAATTAATCAAGATTGTAGTTTCTTGGCTGAGATCCTCCTCCTTCCAATTCTTCACTATTATTACTAACTCTTTCTTGATTTACTTTCTCACCTTCAATCTCTCTATATCTATGCAAATACCTTTTCATTGCACCACCATAATCATCAAACCCTAAAGTTCCCAAAGCCCAACAAACGTCGTCGCCGTTCACCGTTTTCCGGCGTTCTTTCCGGCACTTCTCCGATGCTTCACCGGTCACAAATCCGATGAACTCAGACACACATTCTTGCATTGTTTCCTTTGCTTCTTTTGAGATTTTTGCGTTTGTTGGTAAACTTTGTTTCATTATTCGACCAACGTTGGCTATAGGCAACAAACGATCTTGTTCCTTGCTATTACTTCCTTCTTCGTTTTGAGCCATTTTTTCAATGGAAGAAAAATGAAATTTAATTTGGTATACTATAGTACAGTGTCAAATGTTAGAGAGACATGTAAATATATTCTAGTCAAAACTTCTTTTTATATATGCTCACGCTAACATCTTTTTCCAGGTATTGTTTACACTAAGGTGGCCAATTAGACTTTCGTTTCAGTTAAATATTATAGATCACTTTCAAAAGATGTGATTAATGGTATAGCTTTAACCAATCAATTGACTACATATGTTCCAATGTTAGTAGTTATGCTCAGTTAAGCCTATTGCACTTTATTCAGAACAACTGTTACATATCAATACCAAATAATTTGTCTCTAAAAAAGTTTAGCATTTTCTAAAATAAAAATTTATCTAAAACTTCACATTTATCAATCACTAAGATACAAGATCTCTAACCTTGAAAAAATTTTGAAAAACATTATTGGCATCGGAGAAAAAACAAGCATTTTTCGTTTTTTAAATGTAGTTTGTTGTAAGATGATGTCGACATAGTTACATATTTATAATAGCAATGAAGCAGAGGATTGCAAAATAGCCGGAGCAGCTAATTTTTTATCCATTATAGTTATAAGGATTGTCAATTTGAGATTAGTTGAGGTGATTGTAGTGTAGAGTGGTAGCTGGAGTTGGGGCTTGCTGTCCAACTATCAATTTTTTCGTTGTCTGTACATAACTCTATTTGGTAAAAAAAAAATATTTTACTTGCCAAAAAAATAAAGAAAGAGAAAAAAGTACATGTTGAAAGTATTTACTCCCTCTGTTCCAATTTATGTGAACCTATTACCTTTTTGGTCCGTTCCAAAAAGAATATAATGAACCCTTTCTAAATTTGGGTAACAATTTAGCTTAAACTTACAATTCTATCCTTAATGAGAAGCTTTTATAACCACAAAAATACTCTGGGCCCCTTTTTGATTTGTTTAGGACCACAAATTCCAAAAGTCTTCATTTTTTCTTAAACTCCGTGCCTAGTCAAACAGATTCACATAAATTGGAACGGAGGGAGTAGGTGTTTTTTTTTTTTTCTGATATAGTAACTACGTATATAACACACTTGTTCTTTGTCAACCGTGGTTTGCACTAAATGTCACATCACAAATGCTTATTAAGAAAAACTCTTTTATTAGCATTACGTGTATATATCTATGTATTAAATCAGACCACATCCATTATATTCAGCTTATAAATTATATTATATGTTTATACTGATTCCAAACTCTATCAAAAGAAGCAATGTTCGTCTAAGATAACTTTAACAAGTACAGACTTACGGTAAAAGCCTCAAATTCAGTAGAAATATAAGGTAAGAAGAGAAATATACTTGCGTATTTGTGTTATTAATTATCCAACTTACAAAAAAAAAAAAAGTATTTCATTATTTACTATTATAATTCATTACTCACAACGTCTAAGTTGTGGATTCATTGTTGGAACTTTTAAGCAGTATAAAAATAAGTGAAGTACGTGTAGATAATCACACAGTATATGTGAAGCCACATGGTGGCTTAGTTGTAGATGCCGACCGCGTCCGCACTCGGCAGTAATGGTGGGGTCGGCTTGTTCGTTTGTTTCTTTTATTTTTTATTCAATACTCATACTAGGGCGCCAATCAATTCGAATTTGCTCTGTGTAAGGCATGTCAAAGGAGAAAGCGTTGCATACCAGAATTTTTTTCGTTCACATTATCGAACTCAAAACCTTGTTAAAAGTGTACTACAGATCATATCATTTCATATGATAGAGGCAGATCCAAAATTTATATTTAATAGGTTAAGCTTTTAAGATCTTTAGCAACTCATCTATTGTTTAAATTTATGGGTTGAAATCTAATATTTGTTAAAATTTTAGTAAATTTCCACATAAAAATTTATACTCCGTATAATAAAACTTTTGGTTCAGTTGAACCCTAATCGAAAGCCTATATCTGCCCCTTTGGTGGTTGGTGTCACGGGGGCGTTTTTGCTCAGTCCAAAGTCACACTCGCGCGGCAGTCAAGTTGCGCACTTGACTTAGCCTTTCCCAACACTTAGCCAAATTTTCAGCAAGTTTGGCCTTAAACGAATTTTGGCAGGCAGCAAATTGAAAAGAACACAATCAAATACGGGAAGATCCCAACCTTTGTATTAATTTCGAAAACTTACAAAGGAACCCTCACTTGACTATGAGCACAATTTGACCACAACCCCCACTACAAGAAAGTATGAAATTTGCAACAATTTTTTAGCAACAACTACAATTTTGTTGGCAAAAATCGACAAATAGCAACAACTTGATAAAGTTGTTGCTATATCACAGAACTTTTAAACACAAAATTTTTCTTGTTTGCAAACATAATAATATCGTTGCCATAATCTATCGTTTAGATATTAAGTTTAAAATTAAAAAAATTAGCAACAAATTTTTTGCAACAATCATAGTGTTGTTGGCTTATTGTAATAAATGACAACAACTTGATAAAATTGTTGCTATATCATAGAAATTTTAGCCATGATTTTTTCCTTGTTACCAATGTTTTATATTCTTATTGCCATATTTTATGGACAATATAATAAATTTAAAATATAAATAGAATTGGCAACAATATATTTGTATTGTTGGCAATATAATTTATTTTTGCCAACAATATGGGTGGGGTGTGGCTAAAAGTTAGCTAATTATTTTTCAGTTTTCCGCCAAAATCGAAGGCGGCAAACTCTTCTCTTGTTAATTACTTTTCCGGATTTTTAGCCCCCTCTTTTCGTTGCCACTCTAGAAAGGTTTTGTGTTGTTGCCATATTTTATGTGAAAATATAGTAGTAGTATTAAATGTAATAAATTGGCAATAATTTGTATTTCTTGTTGGTAGAACCCTTAATTTTCTCAACAAGTTTGGTTCACGCCTGATGTTTCTCAACAGGTTTGGTTTGTGGCCTAAAATTTTGCTAAGTATTTTCAACTTTCCGCCAAAAGAAACGCGGCAAACCATGTTCTGCACAAACCGTTTTTTCTTTTCAATTAACTTTTCCTTAATCCTTAGCCTATTTCAGTTACCATTCTAGCTAGGTTTTTTCCTTTATTATTCGACAACTCTGAGCAACTGGTTCTGTCTCGTCTACAAAGTCCGGTGAGTGCTATTGATTACTATTCATCTAAAGTAATCTGCCTTACAGGTTCTTTCCCCTATTCATCTTCTATTTTTATGTAGTTTAGTTGTTTGTTAATTTCTTATCATTGGTTTTTTCAATTGTGGTCATCCATTTTTTCTTCAACTTCTGCTGTTAGAATTTGCTAGTGTTCAAGTGAGTATAAATTTGATCTTTGTTTAAAGGCAAATCTGGTGCTTGTTGAATTTGCTGTTAGAATTTGCTAGTGTTCAAGATGTAGTATATTTGCTGTTAGGTTTGTCGAATCCGGTGCTTGTTGAAATTAAAGGCAAATGAGGTAGAATCCCTTAATTTTTCTCTCAATATATATATAAAAAAAAACAATTCAATTAAACAGATAAAGGGCCTCGACGGCACCTCATGTGTTTCTTTGCTCGTATCACTGTTCATTCAAATTATATATTGTTTTAACTATATTTTGATATAGAGTCTTTCTCTGACCTTTCTCCTTATTTATTTTTTTGGTAAATTGACAGCAAATAATTGAGGGACATCTACTATTTTATATTTTTGTAGGTAATTATATAATGGATAAAAGTTGGATTCTTCTTAGGAACAGGGCATTACCAGAATACTTGAATGGCGTGGAACAATTTTTGAACTTTGCATTTTCAAATCCTAATGTTGGTATAAGAATTCAATGTCCGTGCACTAACTGCAACCATGTACGTAGGAAAACACGAGAAGAAGTAAAAATAGATTTACTTAGGTGGGTATAGATCCAACATATAATAGGTGGATTCATCATGGTGAGTCGGATTCATCTTCAGATGATGAAATAAATTCTAGTGCAGATTCAGATTTAGGAAACGATGATGCTGCCACTTTCAAGATGTTGCATGACATGTATCGTGGTATTCCTACAGATAATATAACTTATGAGTCAGAGCTGAGTCTAGATATGAAGAACCTAATGCAGAAGCTAAGAGTTTTTATCGATTGTTAAAGGATGCAGAGCAAAAGCTGTATCCAGATTGTGAAAAGTTCTCGAAGCTCTCTTTTGTAATGCGTCTTTTTCAAATGAAGTGCTTGCATGGTTGGAGTAATACTTCATTAGACTCTTTGTTAAAATTATTAAGTGATGCTTTTCCCAAAGGACATGTGCTCCCTAATTCTATTTATGAAATTCAAAAGATTATTAAAGATTTGGGTCTAGATTACGTGAAAATAGATGTTTGTGTTAATAATTGCATCTTATATAGAAAGGAATATGAGGATCTTGAGCAATGCCCTGAATGTGGTGAGAAAAGATGGATAGTACGAAAAGGAGAAGATGACACTGAAGTTGCTTCAAGTAATTTGAATAAGAGAAAGAAAGGAATTCCTAGAAAAATTCTTAGATACTTTCCTTTGATACCAAGATTACAACGGTTGTTTATGACTAAACAAACCGCAGAAGATATGAGGTGGCATAAAAATAAACGAGTTGATGATGGAGTATTAAGGCATCCAGCTGACTCACTGACATGGAAAACTTTTGATGAGAAACATTTGGATTTTGCATCAGATCCACGTAATGTAAGACTTGGACTTGCTTCAGATGGTTTTAATCATTTTGGTTCCATGAGTAATGCCTACAGTAGGTGACCAGTATTCTTGATTCCGTATAATCTACCCCCGTGGCTATGCATGAAACAATCTAATATTTTGTTATCCTTGCTTATTCCTGGCCCTAAAAGCCCTGGTATGAATATAGATGTGTATCTCCAACATTTGGTTGATGATTTGAAAAAATTATGGGAGGATGGAATTGAGACTTATGATGCTTTTAAGCAACAAAATTTTCAATTGCGTGCTTCTTTATTGTGGACAATTAATGACTTTCCTGCATATGGCATTTTGTCCGGTTGGAGCACTAAAGGTAAATTCGCTTGTCCTGTTTGTCATGTAAATACTTGCTCCATTTACTTGAAACATGGTCGAAAGCATTGCTACATGAGTCATCGTAGGTTCTTAGAGATAAATCATCCTTATCGTCGGAGCAAAAGTTCTTTTGATAATACAAGGGAAGAAAGACTTACACCACAAGCATTGAGTGGAGATGATGTGCTTGCACAAATAAATACATCCTCACAAGGATCCATAGGTGATAACACAAGAAAAAGAAAACGAGATGCCGAAAGACGTGACAACTGGAAGAAGAAAAGTATATTCTTTCAACTACCATATTGGAGGACTGTATTGTTGAGACATAATTTGGATGTAATGCATATAGAGAAAAATATTAGTGAAAGCGTCATAGGAACGTTGTTGGATATTGACGGAAAAACAAAGGACACATTGAAATCTCGATTGGACATACAAGAGATGAGAATCAAAAAGCCGCTCCATCCAACTAAAAGTGGGGATAAGTATATACTTCCTCCTGCTAGTTATCCAAAACGGAGAAGATTAAATTCTGTCAACTCATCAAAGATGTCAAGTTTCCTGATGCTTATGCTTCTAACATTAGTCGTTGTGTCAATGTTAAGGAAGCTAGAATTTTTGGACTTAAAAGTCATGATCACCATGTTCTTTTCCAGCGTATCTTTCCTCTTATCATCAAAGGAATTTTGCCAAAGGATGCATATGATCCGTTAATTGAATTGTCATTATTCTTTAGTGATTTGCGCGCTAAAGAGTTGCATATGGACAAGTTAGATAAAATAGATAAAAGCATACGGATGACAATTTGCAAACTAGAACGTATATTCCTACCAACGTTCTTTGATGTCATGGTTCATTTGGCAATTCATTTAGCAAAGGAGGCAAAGGAGGGTGGTCCTGTTCAATTTCGATGGATGTATTTCATCGAGAGGTTAGATTTTTACTACTCTAAATTTTTCTTTTAGCTGAAATTTGCTATGAAACTGATATATTTTTACTTAACAGAATGTTGCGCACATTAAAAAGTTATGTACGCAACATGGCTCGCCCAGAAGGGTCAATTGCTGAGGGCTATCTTGCAGAAGAATGCATGACATTCTGTTCCAAATATTTGACTGATATGGAGACAAAAGAAAATCGTCCAGATAGGAATTCTAGCTCTTCCAACATGGATCCTAATGGCTTATCTGTATTTAATTGTCGTGGTAAGCCATTTGGAGGGGGGTGATTGGACAAAATTGAGTGATCTTGAAATCAAGCAAGCACATTTTTACATCCTCCAAAATTGTGCAGAAATTGGCCCTTTTATCGAGTAAAATACTTTTCACTTAATTTACATTCTTTGCTTCTTATAAATTCTCTCAACGACTATCTTGTAATGTATTCATTCTATTTTAATTTTCATTATCTATAGGGAACATTTAGAAATATTAACAAAGGAGAATAACAAAAATGTTGCCAAGAGGCACAAAGAGGAATTTCCTTTGTGGTTTCAGAAAAAGGTAACTTATATAATTCAATATTGGCTAATCTTTATTTAGAACAATTCATAAATTTTATTTTTAAGTAGTACTAATATTTGAGAGTTTGTAATTAATAGGTGATACAATTAAAAGATAACGGTGATGGTCGAATTACTGATCAATTGCTCGCTTTGGCAAGAGGTCCAGATTTACGAGTAGAATGTCATAATGGATATATCTTGAATGGTTTTAGGTTTCGAACAGTGGCATCCGAGAAATTTTTAAAAACTCAAAATAGTGGTATAGTTGTAAAGAGTGATGAATATACAGAAAATGCTGATTATTATGGAAAGATAAGAAGAATTTTAGAAATCCAATATCTGGACAAAAATTTAGTGACATTGTTCCAATGTGACTGGTTTGAAGTTCCACCTCAAGGTCGAAGTCAAAGTAGAGGTTGAATTGTTCATAGAATTTAAATTCTAACTTCTTGATCTTAACATTTTCACCTGAACATATAATGCTTCATTTTTAATACTTCTCCTATTTTAAGCATCTCTATATTTCCAATACATGTAATTCATTTCTTTTTCCTTTAGGTTGTTGTCCCCTTGTTGAGTAATTACTATTAGTCACAAGATCATATCACATAAAGGTAGTTGTACATAAATGAAGTTGTAGAGTTTTAAAAGTAAAAAAGTTCTCTGTAATTTATAGAATACTGAAACTTTTATATTCCAGTGAAAAATCTAGAGGAGAATAAAAGAAGAGAGGCTAAAATGAATTAAAAATTTATTAACTAGCAGTATTTTATGAATATTACTTATCATTATATCGTCGATAATACTTTTAGGCAGCCAAAAAGGAAGGGAGGATAGACAAATACTCCATTTCAATACAGTACAAAAGATGAACATAAGCATAAGTCGAAAATAGAACTAGTAATAGAAGAGTGACAAGAAATATACTTTTACATGAATTAGGCGGAGTTTACTTACCATGATGTCATTCATAGGACTTGCAGGACTTTCCTCATCTGAACCACTTAAATTTGTAATAATATTGAAAAGTGCAGCAGGAAGTCGAATCTGTTAAATATAACACAAATAAAGATCTTAAACATGATAGTACCAAGGAAGAAACTATTTTATAATATAAAAAAACTACGACCAAGTAAGAAACTATTTTATAATATCAAAATTAACTATTTGGTCTTCATAAGGCAACTAAAGAAACTTTAGCGCTTATACTAAATGAATACCTTAGAACTTTGTATAAGGGATGCAAGTCCCACCATGCCCTCTTTTAACATTTTTTGCTCACGTCCTACACGAGCTTCCATGACTCCTACGTGAGCTTGCATGACTTCTCGATTTTTTCGCTCCTCCTCAAGTTGCTCTTGTACTTCTTTAAGCTTGGATTCTACACTCTCTCGTTTAAGGCGTTCTTCTTCCACCTCTTTTTTTTGTGCTTGCAGTTGATCTTGAAGCCCTTGCATGGATCGCTTATTTGTTAGCTTAAGTCCTGATCCTTGACCGCGGTAATAGCCTGACTTTTCTCCAACAATTTTCATAAAGGACGCATTAACAATAGGGTCCATATCAGTACCCTCTTCTGTTTCTTGAATTTGCTCTGCAACCAATTCATTCACTTTATCCTACAAACAAGCCATAAAAGATTTAGCTTTCAATATTTGTTTCGATAAACTCATATCATAGGATTAAAGATTAGAGTATTGTATGTACATTCAATTCAGCAGCGGCATCGTTGACCCAATGACCATTTTTCATGTGAGTTTTTTTCCAAAGTGTCTGAAAGTTTGGCTCTTTTCCAGTGATTGGATCTCTCTAACAAAATGAATCAAATTATGTTATCGAAGAAAGAATTACTAAGTTCATAAAATAAGACATATCTCACCTCTTCAAAAGAGACTGCCCCGAATGATTTTCTGCCGCAAATATGATTGATTCCTTGTTTTGCCTTGTTTACTTTGTTTCTGGCACTCATTCTCTATATTGAATATAAATCAATGATATATCTAAGGATTCAAGTATGAAAAGTACAATAAGAAATAAACAAAACTTTGAGTCTGATCATGAGAGTTTAAGTTCCAATTTCATAGGCATATGATTGCTTTATTAGTTTTTGTAACTTCCCTGATTGACGTAGATATTTTTCAGAATCTTTTAGCTAAATAATAGCTTTTGCGCATATTTTGTTTAATTACCTTGAAAGGATCAGAGTCGAAATACTCCACCAAGAATTTCCATTCAACTTCAGTAACATCTTCGGGTATGTTTTGCAAGCGTTCCTCCTTTGTAGCAAATTTCTTAAAATGATCATAGAGCCTGCTACGACGATATCGATACAAATTGTTAGCTGTATGAAGGATAGTATCCCTAGTGTGTTGCGTGTCTGGAATTTCAAAGGCATCCTGCACTCAAATCAAAAAAAATTAGAAGTGATAGTTTTGTCACCTAAGACTATACGAGCAACTAAAATAAATTTGTATGTGGAACCGGTAGTAAAGGATAACTAATAAATATGCTGCAACCACTTTGTAAATAAAACAGGGAAGCATGTCTGTTTAACTTGAACTCAAAGCATTACATGACTGGCTGTGACAATCTGTTCTTCAAGTTAATCTTGAAGATGACAAAAAAATGAATCAAACTGTTTTCTTTCATCTATTACATTCTGGAATTAAGGACGCCACTCACTCAAATCGCTGAATGAGCATTCTCAATAAGAGAGCTCGGATCTGCCAAGTTCAAAGTAAGAGCCAAAAACTACAAGGCACAGGGCAAATGGTGAAAGAAGAGGAACAAAAACAAGCGTAGGATAAGCTAATTTGAGAGTATTCCTCACAATATTGAAAACTTCAAACTTAAACTATCACTGCTTGATCATTTGAACTATTACATTAACTGTCATCTATCGTTAAAGAATCAGAAAATAACAGCAATACATTTTTCTAGTAAAAGAATTCATACCAAGCCAACTATATCCATGGAACAACAAACAATTTACTACTCTTATAAAGACTGCTACTATGATGCGCAACTATTTTTATAAATTGTTTATATCACAGACATAAATTATAAGCCTACCCAAAACCTCTTATTCTTATGATATCACATGTACATATAACGATGAATAAAAGTTAATTGCAATATTGATTAACTGTTGCACCAGTAGAGAATATCACTTTGGCATATCAGAATAAAATAAGAAAATTTCAAGCAAACACATTGTGCTTCTACAAACTCCATTGCAAAGTAATTAAATAATAAGATGTATCTCACAATTTTCCTACAACAGGTACCGGAATAAACTGTACCATATGTTTTGGTTGAATACGACTCATTCAAGAACAAAAACTATAAACTTAAAATAAACAAAGAGAATTACCAGCATATGAGCAACAATCCTGTCTTTTGATAGATCAGAAACTTGCTTCCAAGTTTTGACATCATGCTTAGCATTCTGGTCAACTGTGACTGAAAGCTCAGTAACAAAATTATTAGCTCCAGGACCAACTGCTACTGTTCGATCTGGTGGGATAATCACCTCCAGCTTTCCATTAGGATTATTTTTGCGTTTCTTTTGGATTGAAAACCCTCTAGTCTTCCCCCTTCCCTTTCTCATTTGTCCTTCAACAATACACAAAAATATTTAAATGAAAGACTTCAGAAAAATTCAACATCAATTCATCATTGGGATAAATAACTATTGCAAAGAAATAGATTTATCGACCTTAAGCATAATAATCAAATCCTACTCTTTATGATAATTTATTACCAAATTTGATCATGAGATTTCACAAAGCTACTTTTTACTGAATGAATCAACTCACGTGATTGTGGGTTCGAAATTACTTCAGCGGGTCCAGCACTATCAGAAACATGCACATCTGCCATCATAATAGTCTGCAAGACATATTAAAAAGAATTATACTGAAGACTGGTTGAAAGTAGAAGTGAAGGCAGCACATTGCATATATCGTCAATCAGAAAATAATCTTCCCAACAACATAAATATAGATTAAGGTGTATGTCCAAACAAACTATTTAAGTAAAATAAGCAAATATAGTAACTTAATAAGGATTGTTAGATATAAAATCGAGAATATTTTCCGCAGATGTCCACTAGCACCAGTGTTTTCCCTGAGTTTACTACTCAAATCATATTCAATTCATCAATCAATCAGTCCTTGTTTCCTATTTAGATGAATTTCCGGCAATGATTAAGGCCACAAAAACAGTAGCGTTAATCAATTCTCAGCCAACCTTTTTCAGAAAACAAAGGACCACATCAACAGAGAGGTTTCCAATTCTTTGAGGATAGTGATATTGAGATAGAGACCCTTTTTCCGTTCAGCATTTGGCAAAAACAAGTACTACTACTGGTAATTTATGAATCAAAATTTCAATATCAAGAGAACCTAAATGAGCACAAGCAGAAAGTACACTAACAAAAATGACTTCATCAGGATCAATCCCAATCATTTGCATTTGCCTAAACAATTTTAGCCCTTCTTAAAAATAATTATTTTGTACATAACCAGATATCATAGAGCCCTACACTCTTCTATATTTCACTGGAGATTACTCAAAAGTTAATCTTGCTTCATAAACATCCCCTCTTTTAGCATACTCGGAAATCAAAACAGTCCAAGACACAACACAATTGTAAGGAATCAAAAAAAAAAAAAACAATCTTGCAGCTTCTACATTGTCAATAGCAATGTACATAGCATTTAAAGTATTACCCACAAGATATACTAACCTATCAATAAAAGAGGTCCTTTACTGTAGATGCTAATTTTATTTGAATGGCACGTGCACAAATAGGAAACTATGTGGGATTAGATTATCTTGAAGCATTCACAAAATGTTTGTAGTAGAACTGTTCTGCCATGCTTCTAGTGTAGTCATATGTAACCTTAGCAATGATTTTTGTTCTTCTCTAGCCGTGTTCAGGATGAAGAATTTTGTTTTGCCATTAGTTGCCGAGCTAAACACAAAGTTATCAGTTTCAAAAAAGAAAAGAATTAAAATCATGTATTCATAATATATTTTGACTCTGTATTTGGCATGGAACGAAGCTAAACTTTCTAAATATTAAAAGAATTTATATAGTAGCAAACATAATAAATAAATAAATAAATAAATAAATAAAAAGAGAATCAGAAAGGAGAAAATAACCATTTGGGCAAGGTTGTGAAAAATCACATTCATCCTCATAGCCAATCATCACCCTCTTTTTCATCATGTTCATCCTCAGAAAAATATTCTCCATCTGTTGAGTCATCCCTATCTTCATGATCAGATTCATAATCTATTTCTTCCTCATTATTGAGAGAAGGTGCTTCAACGCTCAATCCATCAATATCTTCTCTTTGTATTCTAATCATATCATTATCTGATTCTACTTGAAGATTTTGCTCTTCCCTTTCAAT